ATCAGAATCCCCTCTGGACAGCATCTTCGTTTACTGTCCTTCAAGAAAAACACTAACATGAGAACAGAGGACCACAGGTTGTTTCTGGCTGGGGCTGGTCGTGGCGTGTTCTAATCCGGCAAGGTTTACATTTAAATATCACAGAAAGAGACCAAAGCCCAGGTGGAAACACATGCTTATTTTTGCAATACAAACTTTCAAAAATCACAACACGTCATTTTGGTCTGTTTTCCAGATAAATACTTGATGGAACAGCCATTGGCACCACGCAGGGTCTTTTTATGAGTTAGTTTTTTTTTTCTTTTTTAAATTGAATCTTAATTGAGAACCAGGCTGGCAGAGGACTGGTTTGTGCCTACTGCAGGAGATGGGACCAGTGCGGCTTTCTCAGAACAGAGCTGGAGTCCAGCGAACGGGGGCTCTGTCCATTCCTCTGACCTCCACATTCTCAGATGACTTCTGGGCTCAGGAGTGCAGACACCTGGGTTCGAGGTAGGCTTTTGCCAGCCACCCAGCAGAGTCCTTGGCCCGTGAGGCTGCGGCTGAACTCTTGTAGTGAGGGGGTTATGGTCTGGCACCCCATGGCCCTGGAGGAGCGCTGAAGTCTAGACTTGTTCTGTCGACTGAGAAATGACTGCATTTGTTGCAGGAGGGGAACTTTGCTTCCCCCTTTTCAATCGCCTTTGCTTGCTCGATTGTTCAGTGCTGTGGTTGAGAGCAGGTGTGCGGTGTGTCCGTTAAAATGTTGGGTGCTGGGGTTTTGAGGTTCCCCCACTGCTTGGGATTCAGGCAGGCGACGTTAGCTCAAGACCGTGAATTCTGCCACCACGGCGGAGACCAGGATGGAGTTCCTGGCTTCAGCCTTGAACCTCACTCATTCTTGCTGTTACAACATTTGCTGAAGCTTTCTATCTGTAGCTCTCTGTATTGCCCAGCTGTTCAAATAAATGAAAATACATAAGTACAACCCCGCATATACTAGTTAGAATATACCAGATCATCTTCGGCAGTCTTTTGCGATGCCTTAACAGGAAGTTGGATAGAAGCAGAGCAGCCGGGACTTGAACTGGTACTCTGATGTGGGCGATGGAGCTGCCAGTGGTGGGTCAACCTGTTGTACCACAGCACCAGCCACTTGTATTTTTTATTTATTATATTTCAAGGTTCACACATGTTGTGTAGTGGATCAGAATTTCTGTCCTTTTTAAGGCTGAGTACTATTTCTTTGTTTATTCATTTTTCTGTTGGGTTGCTTCCATGTTTTGTTTCCTGTAAATTGTGCTACAGTGAACAAGGGAGGAGATAGTTGGAATGTAAAGTTCTCACTTTTCTTGTCCATCACCCTCACTACCAAGCACCTGTCGGTACAGGTCATATTTGGAATTCTCGCACTCCTAGCTTCCGTGCTGCACCACGCCCCTGGATTCTGCTTTGGATTCGGGTCTGTGATCCATCCCCAGTGTGTGCAGCCCTTCCATTGGATGCTGGCATTGGAACTGGCACCTTCTCTGGAGGGTGGGAAAGCCCAGGCATGCAGGATGCCGAATCGTGATGGGGATGGGCAGCTGTGGAGCCGCTTCCCTCCTGACGTGGCCTTGAGCTTGTGGGCCAGCACCATGTCATGTTGTCCTTGCCCCTTGCCTCCTGCCCTTGTAGTCCACCTATTTGGCCCTAAAGCCTGTAGAGTTTGCAGTTTCTATTGGAGAGATGCGATCTCAGGTGATTTTATTAGCAATGGCAAGAAGAAGCTGGCTGACCCCCCCGAATGCCTGCAGCAGCTAGCGGGTAGGGCTGAGGCCACCACCACAGCCTCAGGTCGTCAGGTGCTGCTGCTTCCCAGGGTCCGTGAGTGCAGGAAGCAGGGAGGGCAGGAACTGCTGGAGCTCAGGGCTGACAGCAGGGCACCCCGGGTGGGCGTCGCAGACACCCCAGCTGAGCTGCCAGGTACTGCCTGCCCTTTGGGCAACTTACAGCATGTTCTTTTTTGTTTTTTTTTTTTAAAGATTCATTTATTATTTTTATTGTTAAGTCAGGTATATATAGAGGAGGAGAGACAGAGAGGAAGATCTTCTATCCAATGATTGACTCCCCAAGTAACCACAGCGGCTGATGCTGTGCCAGTCTGAAGCCAGGAGCCAGGAGCTTCCTCCGGGTCTGCCACGCAGGTGCAGGGTCCCAAGGCTTTGGGCCATTCTCCACTGCTTTCCCAGGCCACAGGCAGGGAGCTGGATGGGAAGTGGGGCCACCGGGATTAGAACTGGCACCCACATGCTGAAGACTTTAGCCGCTAGGCCACCACGCTGGTCCCCTTAGAGCCTGTTCTTAAAGAGCATAGTCCTTCCCATGAGTGGGGCCTTGACGCTGACCCCCGTGTTTTAGACTTCTTCGCATTCTGTGTATAACATCTTGAGTCCTGTCATGTAGGAATGTGGCTGAGTGCATCTGTCTGCCTTTCCTAGGAAAGTGACTAACAGTTCGGGTACAGGACCATGCTACGGGCAAGGATTTACGATGACCAGCAGCGGGCAAGAACCCTGCATTAGATGCCGGGGAATCGCAGCTTGGCGTCTGTGTCCTTACCAGGGGGTTGAATCCTTTGGCGTTGGTTGCAGGGTCACTTCCAACGGGGATCGAGCCAGTCAGTGCAGGCAGCATCCCAATCGCCGCGGAGGGCGTGGGTGTGTTGGAGACTTTCCTGATTTCGTTTTGGTTCGCTAGGTTGCAATTCTCACAGTTTATGGAAGTTTGAGAATTACAGATATCTCCCATCCACTGGGAAGTTGCTATTTTCCTTCTCTTCAGTTATTTTCTTTTTGACGGGTCTTAAAAACGGTCTTTTTCTTTTAAAAGATTGATTTATTTTTTCTTGGGAAGGTAGATTTTACAGAGAGAAGGAGGGACGCAAAGATCTTCCATCACTGGTACACTCCCCAAGTAGGTACGATGCCTAGAGCTGAGCTGATCTGAAGCCAGGAGCTTTTTATGAATCTCCCATATGGGTGCAGGGTCTCAAGGCTTTGGGCTAACCTCGGCTGCTTTCCCAGGCTACAAGCAGGGAGGTGGATGGGAAGGGGAGCAGCCAGGGCAGGAACTGGTGCATATGGGATCCCAGAGTGTGCAAGGCAAGGATTTAGCTACTGTGCCAGGCTCAATATGAATCTTTCTTAAAATAATAATAAATTACAAGAGAAAATGTGCGGGAGAAGGGATTTCTGAAGCGCAGTGGCCTGTGTGTGCATCTCATTTGTAAGCGAGGTGTGGGGCTGTGCTTTGCAGACAGCCGAAAGAAGGGGAGCTGGCCTTAGCGCACGTGGGAATTGAGAGCAGCAAGGGGCGGCAATTGCTGAGGGGTCACATGCTTGTGGGCGTGCACACTCGTGCCTTCCAGCTGCTTGGCCTTGGAAACTATATTCTGATGAGATCCATTCATGGGGAGCCCCTGATGTTTTGTGGGGGAACCCCTGATGCTTAGAGCCTCCTCACGTGATGCCAGGGCTTCATTGCTACAAGGAAGCTCAGGTCGTGTGACACGTGCTGTGTGACCGGCAGCCACGCTCGATGACCTACAGTCAGCCTGCCTGGGGGAAGCAGCAGAGAATCTGGTGCAGCACGGTCGGAAGTGTTCTCGCTCCCCGGCGGAAGTTACAGAGGCTGCAGATCCACTGGTGAGGTCATTCGAGCCGTTCATCACACTGGTTGTGTAAGGAAGGTGGTGGACTTCAGATTCTGCCGGGGCAGGTGCATTGTTATCCTTGAGAGATGTACCGATGGCAAAGAACTCTCGGCTGCGTGGTGATGGCCACGGCCCTTGTGTGAAATGTTTGGGACCAGAAGTGTTTGGGATTTCAGAGAGTCTTGTTGGGATTTCACAGATTTGTTCTTGTTCAGATGGCACAGGTACGACTGGGGATCTTGGGAACAGGACACGAGCCGAGATGCAGGATGCCGTTTGTGTTTGTACATGCCCAGCCTGGGAAGGAGTCTGTTGTGATGTGTACAGTGGGCTCGCCTTCCGGCTGCGGTGTTGTTTTCCATGTGTTTCCCCGGGACGTCTTGAATCTTGGAGTTGATGGGTTTGGGATCCTTGACTTGTCTTGCTGAAGAATGTGTGGGGAAAATATAGACGAGGTTGGCTCAAGGTCAGCTGCTGGTTTTTCAAGTCAGAAACAGCCAGATAGCAGGAGACCTTGGATAGGGGTTGAGAGAGAAGACGCATGTGGAGAAGCAGTGGGTGCCGTGCGACCCCGTCCCTCCCTCCGTGTCCAGGTCGTCACTCCCTGAAGACCTGGCCGGTGAGCACCCCGGAAAGGATCACTGTTTGTTAGGTGACCTGTGCCCACAGCATCCTCTCCTGGGATAACTGCCCCTCCCCACCCCCAGGCATTGACACAGCGATCGTGACGAGCAACAGGATGGCAGCTGCAGGTAGAAATTAGAAGACCCCCAATGATATTTTCTGGAATCTTTTTCATGTGTATGATACTTAAAGACAAAGTTAACAGTAGAGAAGTGTGAGAACGGGGGTGTTTTTACAAAACCTGGCCTCAAAACCAGGCTCTGGAGTGTGCCCTAGAGTGTGTGTTTTTAAAAGATTTATTTTACTGGGGCTGGTGCAGTGGCGTCGCATACTAAGCCTCTGCCTGAGGTGCTGGCATCCCATATGGGTACTGGTTTGAGGCCTGGCTGCTCTGCTTCTGATCGAGCTCCCTGTTCCTGGCCTTGGGAAAGCAGCAGAAGACGGGCCAAGTCCTGGAACCCCTGCACCCATATGGGAGACCGGAAAGAAGCTCCTGGCTAGAGACTGGGCCACCGTGACCATTGGGGGAGTAATCCAGCAGATGGAAGGTGGTCTCATGTTTTTTTCTTTTTCTTTCTATAATTCTGCTTTTCAATCAAAAATGTTTCAATAAATATGCTTTTACAGGAGTGGTGGAGAGAGGGAAAGACATGCCCGAAATGGCCACCGTGGCCAGGACTGGGCCAGGCTGAAGCCGTGAGCCTGTAACCTCTGGGTCACCCCCCTGGGTGGCGGGGCCCAAGCGCTCTGGCTGTCATCCACTTCCTTCGCAGCAGAATCTGCTGCCTCTGGAATTTGGCAATCCTGGTCCCTTCTCCCTGCCTTTTCTCCTGTTGGCTGTGCCATCTCACCCGCTCGGGGTGCCCCAGGCCTTCTGGGTACGCCCCAGGACCCGTGGAACTGGCCACGCCCATTCTCCCCACGTGAGTGTGACAGCACCTGGTGCTTCCCCTCCCGACTGCAGATCCCTAAGGACGTGGCTGACACCCGACTGCAGGTCCCTAAGGACGTGGCTGACATCTTCAACGCCCCCAGTGACGACGAGGAGTTCCTGGGCTTCCCAGACGAGCTTCCCATGGAAAGCCTCTCAGCAGAGGGGAGCTGCGACAGCTTGGACTCGCTGGAGCCCCGGACACAGGTAGGTGGGCGTCTGCTCCCTTCCCCGGGCGGGTGTGTGCCTTCACAGGCTGAGACGCCTCGGTGCCCGTGTGGGTGAGGTTGTGGGTGCTGCTCAGCTGGCAGGCGTCTCGCGGGTAGGTGTGGAGGCTGTGAGAGGGTGTGGAGGCCGTGGGTGGGTGTGGAGGCCGTGGGTGAGGCCCTCGTTGGCTTTCGCCGCCAGGGCAGGAAGGGAGGCTTAGCTCTGGTGCTCCCCTGCCTCTCTTCCCCCCCACCGCCCCTTTCCTTCTCTGTAACCACGCCTCTTCCCGCACTCGTGCAAGCATAGATGCTGAGTCTGTGTCCAGGCCTTGCCCTGACCCCGATCCTGCTTTGCCTCTGCTCTGCCGGTGTACCTCGGCCCCAGTGCCTCTCCTGAGCCTGCCGCTTGTGTGTGCGGAGGGGCTTGGCACGGCCCGTGCGCCCTCCCTGCTGCCTGGCCTCATGTGGGCTTTGCCCGGTTCCCCCTTCACCTTCATGTGCAGCTGCCCTGGGCCCTTGCCCCTCTCCTCTCTTCTCCCCTACACTTTATCCAGGAGTTCCCCACACCTGTGCCACCTCCCCTGTTCTCTGAAGTCCCTGAGTCCTTCAAGAGGAAGGGTTTGGTTCTGCACACCCCCTCCTGTGTCAGGAATGGCTGGTCTTCTTGGGAACAGTGGGTTTGCCAGGGCGTGGGAGGAGCAGAGCCTGGGGTGTGCACTGCTGGAGGCCTTGGGAGGAGTGTGGCACCTGTGCCAGGTCCTGAGCCAGCCCCCAGCCCCAGCCCTGTCCGCGTGTCCCTCACGGCATCCCTTAATTGGCCGGCAGCACTATGCCTGGCGCTTTCAGATGGATCCTGTGTTTACTCCGTGGCCCCTCTGGGCGGCGCTGTCCTCATGGGACAGTCCATGAGATGGCCTGCATCCCTGCGAGCCGTAGAGCTGGATGGCTCCAGGGCCAGGGTCACCCACCAACCACTCCCAGCCTCTTAGCTCCCAGCTCACTTTTTCTCCCCACACCGGGCACTTGGGTAGATTCCTTTACACAGGCTGCTCTGTGTCACACATGCTACTACCCCAGTTTGGGACTGGTCCAAAGGCTGCTTCCTCCACACAGTCTCCCAGGGTTTTCTCCCCTCTGCAGGGCCATGTGCTGGTGTCGCTCCCTTGTAGAACCTGTCCTCACTGTGGCCCTTGGTGTCGGGCCTCCCAGACTCCCCTGCTAGGTGCAGAGCCCGTTACAGAAGAACCTCTCGGGCTTGGGGAGTGCTCTGTGGCTCCCCGGCTCCGGCTGGCTGCTGTCCTGCCCTCCCTCTCTTCACCTGCCTGCACAGGGTGAGCCCCAGCAGGTGTAGTTGGAACACAGAGCCTAGTGGCAGGTGCAACAGGACTCTGCTCTGTCAGTCTGGGTCTTCTGGTCACGTGGGTTCCCAAAGAAAAGAAACACAGCCTCCCACGGCTGCTGCTGTCCTGGACTAGGCTTCCATCACCATAAGCCAGGCTGAGAGAGGCCTGCGCAGGTAAACCACCGTGCTTCACGGGTTCTGGGCCAGGGTTGTAATCCAGCGTGTGGCTGTGAGGCTTCCTGCAGAGGAGTGGGACTCATGTGACAGTCGCTGGGGATCAGGACAGATGCAAGCACAGGTTTCGGGTTAGGGCTGCAGCCGCACTGTGCTGCTACATCGGGTGAGGCCAGTGAGGGCTGCTGGTTGTCCCTGATGCCTGTACTGTGGAGGCTGGGAACCCCGAGCACTGAGAGATCAGGGCTGTCTGCTGGCTTGGGGGCCCCCGGAACCCAGGCTTGAAGTGGTCAGCTTGGGTCGTTCCTGCAGCCCCGTGCAGACCCCATTACCCTGCAGCAGCCTCGGGGGGGCTGTGCTGGCAGGAGCCAGATGCTTCCTGTGTTAGGGGGCCGCAGGTGCACGATGGGTTTCCGGTGCAGCCATCCGTGGGCTGTCCATCTTGAGCAGCGAGCTCTGGGCCGCTGCTCCCCTCTCCCGCAGCCCTGAAACCCACATGCTCACAGTCAGGCTGCAGGAAGTTGCAAATGGTGTGCACATGAGTGTGCACATGTGTTATTGTGTGTATGTTTTTCCAGACAGCCTCCCTACCGCTATCAACAAAGTAGCCCAGTAATTCAGCGCTGAGTAGGCTTGTTCGTTACTCCCAATCATTCATAGGGGACATTTTCACACTTATAGAAGGCTAGGTGCGGGCATTGCCTTCTCTGTACCCCTGCCTTTCCACTCTGTCACCTGCTTTTCTGCAGGAAGATTGGGGTGGAGGAGTGGGGCTGGTCCCCAGGGTAAAGGCAAGGCTGAGATTAGGCTTCTGAACCCAGAGCGATGTCCTGAGGGGTCACTGCTGCTAGGTGAGGCAGGTGGCACGGACACTGGAGCCCGCTGAGGACCTGTCTTGGAGGCCTGGCTGGGGTGGGGCTGTGGCCTGCAGGGGCAGCTCTTAGGGGAGTTCCCTGGAGTCTGCAGACTGTTTTGTCTCTTCTTGGAGCGGTCTTTTGAGAGAACTGGGTCTCCTCCTTTTTTGTGTTGCAGAAGAAAGGATTTTTTAAAAATTTATTTGAAAAGCAGAGTTACGAAGAGGAAGGGAGAGAGCTCTCTTGCATCCAGTGGTTCACTCCCCAAATGGTCACACTAGGCATGCTGAAGCAAGAGCTGCTTCTGCTTTTCCCACAAGTTCCGGGGCCTGGGAAGGCAGCGGAGGAGAGCCCAGGTGCTTCTCTGCCTCTCCCATGGGAGACTGGGTGGAGCTCTGGCTCCTGGCTTTGTCTTGGCCCAGCCTTGACTGTTGCAAACATTTGAGGAGTGAACTAGAGCATGGAAACCCTGTGTATCTCCTTCTCTCTTCAACTCTGCCTTTCAAATAAATATGTAAAAAATTGTGTGTGTTGCATTGTGGTACAGTAAGTGTAAGGTAAAATTGAATGTTGTAGCCATCCCACATACAGAACTGGGTGCCATCAGGTTCATTGTCAGTGTTGGGCAGCCTCCGAGGTCTCCAGAATGTTCTCCCCACTTCCCGTCCCGGAGCCAGTTCCATGGCAGTCAGCTCCTCCCCGCTCTCACCCCTGCCCCTGCCACTGCCTTCACAACAGGCGTGTGTTTTGAATCCCGCAGGATGTGCGGTTCCGCTCCCAGTACTTCACGGAAGAGCTGAGAAGGATTTTTGTTGAGGACACCGACTCGGAGGATTTTGAGGGCTTCACGCAGAGTGACATGAGCGGGAGCAGCAGCATAGAGGTGACTGGGCCAAGCCCGGGGGTCGTGGGTGCAGCAGAGCTGAGCCCGTTGCTGTTTGTGGTCCTGCCTAGGTGTCCCTTCGCCACACTCGCCCTTTCTCTTGGGGATTAATCTTTCAGGCCCGCCCCTTTAAAGCTGGCTTCCCGCAGGCCCCCTGAGACGCCACGCTGTCCGTCACCCCCAGCCATCTCCCTTCTCTGCCTTGGTGGCTCGGGGCTGTGCCGTAGGTGTGCCTGGTGGTCCTATCTCACACGCCTGTGTTGGACTCTGGTGCTGCTGGTCTTCCTGGGAGTAGCAGGCTCCTGGGATTTCTTGATAGGGTGTTCATTTGGCACAAGTTGATTGACGGCAGGCTGGGCGTTTCCCTTTTTGGTTTGGATGGGGGTGTCATTTTTCATGTTGCTGACACCCTTTCCCAAGGAGAGATTCCTGGGGGAGGGGAGGGGAGTTGAGTCCCACTCAGCATTCCATGTTTGTTCTGGCCTCTTGGCTTGGGGGTTCACAGTAGCTTTAATGTCTTTGAGTGACTGGTTGAAGCACAAAACTCTTCTGCCAGATGGAAAACCAGCATTTACATATGCACACACACACACACACACACACACACCCCGGAAGGGAGCAGTCGCGGTCAGCCTCTGCACAGTTGAACTCCCACGGAACCACTGGGGGCTCGGAACCTGAGTGGAAGTGTGAGTTGGGTCACTGTGTTCCACAGGGAGACCAGGGGTTTGTGGGTGGGGTGGAGGGTGCTGTTGTCCCCCAGGAGCTGCAGTGTCGAGCTGGGCCAGCCCGTGGTCCCCAGCACCCCGGCTCTCTGCAGAAGCCTGCTATGGGATAAGCAGGATGCTGAGCTCTCTCCGAAGCCATGCGGAGTGTCCTCTCCGTGGTTCTTCGGAGTGTTCTGTGCCTTAGCTAAGCGACATCCACCTCATCCAAGAATTTCCTAGTGAAGGAAAAGTTACTCCAAACCTTTGCTTTTTTGCCCTCATTGGAGTCCCTCCTTTTAGGGCATGAATTGTGACATAATCAGAGCCCAGTGAGTGCAGCTCTGACCTGCGGATTTCAAAGATTCACTTGATTTTGACTTGATAAAATTACAGAGGGAAGGGGAGAGAGTCTTTGTCCACTGGGTCACTCCTTAGTAGCTAGATCTGAAGTCAGGGGCCAGAAGCCTCTCTCGGGTTTCCTGTATGAGTGCAGGGGCCCAAGGGTTTGGGCCATCTTCTACTACTTTCCCAGGCCATCATCAGGAAGTTGGATTGGAAGTAGAGCAGCCAGGAAATGGTGTCCTTTTGTGAAGCCAATGCTGCAAGCATAGAATTAGCCAACAGCGCCACGCACTGGCCCCCAATTTTAGAATTAAGTATTGTAAGGCGAGCATGTGATCTGATCCTGGCCCGTTGCCAGAGGCCCAACAGCTGCAGCCCAAGCTGCTGGCCTGGGTGATCGGATGGACTGTCTGGACAGACTGTGTCTTCCCTGCTTGTCCCTTGGAGTGAGCAGCAGCTGGGCTTCCTGTAGAGGGCAGGCGGAGGGGGAATGCAGCAGGTGAACTGTGGCAGTGTGTGGCAGCCTCCTGTGAGTGACGCTGGGCTCCTCTGCCACCTGGACAGTAACCTGCCACGATCTGTCTGTCGCATTCCCAGCTTAAGCTACCACTAGGGCTTTGGAGCTCACTGAGGAGGAAGCACCTGCTGCTCATGGTGGCCCCAACTTTGGGGTTCCCTAGTGCAAGCCTCCCGGGCCGAAGCATCTAAGCTGTGGTTAGGAAGGAAACCGAAGGTGGCTCTGCCTTGGATGGCCCAGCTGTCCCTGCACTCTCAGCTTGGTGTCTTCTGTAATACCTCAGATGCCACCGTGCCATCACACCATCCTGACCCTTACCACCTTCCCTTCTTCCTACACTCAGACCAAGTGAGGTTTCTGTACTGGAGAGCCACATCACGTGGAGTTTAGAAACCTGGGGTGAGACGATCTCGAGGCCAGGTGGACGGGGCTTGGTGGTAGAGGCGGAGCTCTGACAGCAACAACCTGCTGAGTTGCCAGTCTTGGCTTAGTTGGCAGGTAGGCCTGCAGAAGGGGTTGTATGGTTGGATGTTGGCATACCTTGGTCACTGTCCATGGAGGCCAGTTTTGGGGGATGACAGATGTATGTTTGAAGCCAGAAGCAGCCTCAGCTTTGCCCTTCACTCCTCAACCAGTTTTAGGTGTTCAGTTGCAGAGCCAAGGGGGACGATGTTCAGGGGAACAGGAAGTGGTTCTGTGTTGCTGCTTCCGGTAATGACATTGCAGCTGTTCTCAAACGATGTCTTTGTTCTTTGTTTCCTTAGCTGGGGGCCTCGGATGTGAGTGAGGACAGCACAGCGTCTGTGTTGAGTGAGGAGGAGGAGGTCTCCCGGCATAGGCGCAGGTCTGGGAGAAATAGCGTTGGCCTCCGAGTGGCCTTCCAGTTCCCCACCAAGAAGCTGGGCAGGCAGCCCGACGGCAACCCCTCGTGCCCCAGCCCCCGCCTGCAGGACAAGCAGCTGGCGGCTCACAGGCAGGGCAGGGATGGGAAGGAAGACATGGCCTCAGAGTCCGAGGACGATGGTGACGACGACGATGGCGGGGGAGACGAGAGCCAGGAGGCTTCAGATGCACTGCGCAAGAGGAACCTGAACATCAAGGAGAACAAGGCCGTGGTAAGGCCCTGCTGCTGGGGCTGCTGTGCTGTGCTGTGCTGTGCTGTGCTTGTGGGGTCAGCTCAGCTAGCCAGTGCCAGCCGCCATGGTTAGAAGGCCCCTGCAGGGCACTGCTTAGGTTGTGTCTGGGGCTGCTCTCCACCCTTGGTGGAGCTGGGCTACAGGGGGTCAGGTGCCCCCACCTGCTTTGACCAGAGTTGCCTGCTGACACAATGCGAGCATTTGAGGGGTGAAGCCGCACTGCAGCTTTTTATTCATGTCGGAACATCTTCCTCAGAGCAGTGGTGGCTTGGGGCCCCCTACGACCTTGGTGGCGTGTGGTTGGTGGTGTGTGTGGTTGTGTCATGCGCAGGCCTCACCCATGCCAGCTTTGTGGAGACTCACTGGCTCAGAGTGAGTTTGCCTGTGAAGTTTTTCAACCACTTGTAGTCACTCTGAGTTTAAGCATCAGCCTTTAAGGCTTGGGGCATGGTGATGCTATATATGGAGGCTCGTCCTTTTGTTTCCTGTGAGCTTCAGAAAGCGCTTCAGGAGCATGGAGTTGAAAGGTCAGACTCCATTGCCAAATTTTCAGGTTGACAGGTTCAGGAGGTCTTCAGCAATGTCAAGGTCAATATGGACAGATTATGCATGGAGTGGGTCACAGCTTGTTTGCATCTAGATACCTTGCGATTGCATTTCGAATACGGCTTCCGAAGTGCCCACATGCTTCCAGAAGCACATGGCACATGCAGCAAGGCTGTCAAGGAACCAGGGACCCTGGCATGGTGGTTTCTAATCTAAGCATGTCTGTGCCTAGGCGAGGGGAGGTGACAGCCCTGGAACACTGGCAGCTTCTGCTAAGAACGGTGTCCCTTGTGACCTTTCAGTGACCCACCCACCTGCCCCTACACAAAGCTAGAAGCAGAAGGATCACGTCGGAATCCTCCGGCCGGTGCGTGTGTGTGGTCAGTTTCATGAGTGAGAAATGAACCATGTACCATTCTATCAGGCTTTTTGGTGCTTTAAATAGCTCGTGGGTCACCTGGCTGGCCTTTGGCTTTTTTGGAACATTCTGCAGCTTGAGATGACACCGCTGCTGAGTGACCGAGTCTCTGGAATCGAGTCTGGTGACAGCAGGACCTGCAGGCATGGTGCCACGCCGTCCTTACACACAAGGATGGGCACAGTGCATGCAAGTGGGTCATGCTGTGGGTGTCTCGTGCCTGCAGCTAGCATATCTGCCTGCTAGGTTACAACAGGTGTTGAGGGTCACATACATGACTGTACTTAGATTTCCCTAGCAGCCCAGCGGCGGCAGACATTGGCCCAGACCTGGCTGCACTCACCACTTCTGGTATTTTTCTCTGATCCTCAGCTGGCTCGCTTATTGGCAGAACTGGACTCGATGCCAGATTTCTTCCCGGTTCGGAGCCCAGCTTCGGCCTCTGTAAGTAGCATGAACCCTTGCTCACCGTTCCTTCTGACACGGGTGCTCGGCTGTCAGTCTCCAGACAGCGTTGCCCCCCCCCCTCCCCGCCCCCGCCCAGTTGCAATCTTCTCTGCTCTTCCTTTCAGAAAAAGAAGCCGCCGGCGAGGCGTGCGTTGTCTGCTGGACAGCTTCCCAGGCGCACGAACCCCACCCGCAGCGCGCGGCCCCCGGAGCGCTTTGCCCTGGAGAACTTCACAGCCTCCGCCGCCAAGTTTGCAGAAGAGTTTCACAATTTCAGGAGGAGGAAGACCGTTAGTAGGGTATTTGCTCGCTATGACCAGTGGCTTATTCTTTGAGGCAGTGGACTTTCCTTGTGAGCACCCATCGGGTCAGGCCTGGGTGCCTTACAAGCATATAGGGTTTTGTCAGAAATGCTTTGGGGCTGGTACCGTGGCACAGTGGGGTGACACTGGCCTCCCATGTAAGCATGGGTTCGAGTCCTGGCTGCTCCACTTCTGATCCAGCTCCCTCCAAACGCACTTGGGAAAGCAGCTATAGATGGCCCAAGAACTCAGGCCCCTGCTACCCGTGGGGGAGACTCAAATATTGAGTTTAAGGCTGCAGCCATTGAGGCCGTGGGGGGGAGTGAACCAACTTTTGTTTGTTTGTTTGGACTATTTTGCGAGGCAGACAGGGAGAGTGCTCATCCATTTGTTCATTCCTGAAGCTGGGAGCCATCCAAGTCACGCCCATTGGGGGCAAGAACCCAATCATTTGAGCCACCTTTGCTGCCTTCCAAGGGCCCCATTAGCCAGTGTCTGCAGTCGGGGCTGGAAATGGACCCCAGGTACTCCAGGATGTGGGGGATCGCGGGCAGCTGAACATTTGTACCCGTGTGTGGAGTTCATGGCTACACAAGCCTGTAGTCATGAGAATGGCCAGATCCCAGCGGTTGCTGGTGTCCTGCCTCGGAACCTCTGGTTGGGGCCTCACGGGCCACTCTGGCTCCCTCTGCAGGAGCCACACCAGGTGCCCAGGCAGCCCCGTGGCTCATGCGCATGGGAAAGTGCTGCCTTTTCGTTGGGGAGCTCCCAGACAGCAATGGGGGAAGCTTAGGCCTTTTCCCTCGGTGGGGGGCTGCTCACTTGGCTTGTGGCAGAGAATAGGAGCCCCAGCTTCCTCTCATGTCATGTTGCCTGGTCAGGATGGGGACTGGGTAATGGCCAAACCTGGAGAGGGTGTGCATGGTTCTCGAGTGAATGGTGCTAGTCTCACAAGGCTAAAGATTTCATGGCTATTTCGTCAGATTTGTTTGAAACTGAGAGTTAACAGAGAGAGGGGGCAGGGAGAGACACAGAGATCTCTCAACTGCTGCTTCACTCCACAGATGGTTGCTGTGGCTGGTGTTAGGTCAGGCCGCAGCCAGGATCTTCATCCGGGTCTCCCATGTGGCAGGTGGGGGGACGGGGCAGGGCCTGAGCACTCTGGCCATCCATCTCACCTTGAGCCCATCTTGCAGGGCAGGTGCCGGGGGTACAGGCAGCGGCACCGTGCATCCTCTTTCCGGGCCGTGGAGGACATAACCGAAGAGGACTTGGAGAACGTGGCCATCACCGTTCGTGACAAAATCTATGACAAAGTGTTGGTGAGCGAGGGGATGGGGCTAATTCCCACAGTGCTGACTCCTGCTGGACCCCCACAGCCCAGGCAGCTGAGGTTCCTATGCTGCTGTCCAGCTGGATCAGGGCCTGTGCCCTCATTCCAGCTCCCCAAGGACTTGGGCCAGCAGCTATCAACAGATCAGAGGTCACCTGTAGTGCAGTGACCTCATCAGGGCCAAGGTCACTGTGGGCAGGGCATAGAGCGAGCTGTATGATCTGGGGGGAGGTGGGCGTGGTATAGTCCAGGACATTTATGTGTAACTGCTAGAACCTTACACATATTTGGCAGATAAGGAAGTGTTGATACTGTTTCTGGTTGGTAGGAAATTGGCTGACGTCAGCTGCTTGGGCGGGACTGTGTGTCTGATGGTGCCGGGGAGGTGTCACTCACACAGCTGCTTGTGGTTCAAAAACCAGAGCTCACGCTGGGGATACACAGATGCCCCAGCTCTTAACTGGAGCCAGTGTGCTCCCGTGGGGTCACTCACTCATCGCCCACTTGGTCTTCTGTCCACCTAGTCCTTTTCATTCCTTTGGGTTTCCATCTACTGTCTGCCGCGTGCTGAGGGTTTGCCCCACAGCAGCTGGCCTCATAGCTGTCTCCTCATCCTCAGGGCAACACTTGCCATCAGTGCCGGCAGAAGACCATCGACACGAAGACGGTGTGTCGCAACCAGGGCTGCGGCGGCGTGCGGGGCCAGTTCTGCGGGCCCTGCCTGAGGAACCGCTACGGCGAGGACGTGCGATCGGCGCTGCTTGACCCGGTAGGCACCAGAGCTCGTCTGTCATCTGCTTGAAAGGCAGAACTAGAGAGAAATCCCTCTCTCCTCAGTGACCCAGCCGCCGGGTCACTCCCCAGAGTACCCACCACAAGCCAGGGCCAGCCCAGATTCCATCCAGATCTCCCACGTGGGCGTCAAGGGCCACCCACGTGCTTGAGGTGTCTTCATCAGCTGCATCCCAGGGTGTGCCGGCCTGGAAGCCGGAGGGAAGGGCTGGGATTGAGCAAACCTGATGCTCCCCTGGTGAATGCCACCTCCTTCACCCTGGAGCACCTCACCACCTTCCTCGCTTGCATCTTGAGACTCTGGGGACAGGAAGCCACTGTCTTGCCAGAAAGCCCGTGCAGGCTCACTGCTGGTTCAGCTGGGGTAAGAGTTCCCACTGCCCAAGCAAACCACGCTTGCAGTTGTTGGTCCTGGGAGAGTGAGTCCCATGACTTTTTATCCAGCAGAGCCCTTCACCTGTAACTGTTGGCCCAGGTGGAGGTGGCTGTGTCACCACGTGGCATGCCATCGGTGTGCTCAATCTTGCACTGTGGTCCGCTGCTGGTCCTGCAGGGACTTGGGCCCCATCCACTGGCTTCAAACCCTGTGGAGTAGTTGGCAGCCTCCCTGTGCCCTCCATCCCCTCTGTGGAGTGACGTTAGTGCCATGGAGAGGAAGGGTGACCACCTAGGCTGCAGCGTCCTGTCCCCAGGTCTCAGCTGGCTCTGTAGGTTATGGTGATTCAGCACCAGCAGCAGCCAGTAAGTCCTACCTCGTGTGCTTCTGCACCCAGGGGCACATAGCCTGCGCCTGCGGCCCACACCTCTTAAATTCTCCTTGAGGTTTGAGTGAGGGGTCGCTGCTCGTCACATAGCTGGTTGACTCCAGAGCCTTCCTGCGGTTCTCAGTGTGGGAGGTGGTGAGGTGAGCATTGCTGGGACACTGGGGGACGTGGTGATGGACAGTATGCCAGGTGACGGGAGTGAAGGCCACCCTGAGCCAGCTCTTTCAGACTCGCTAGTCATTTGGTCCATGGTGGTAGGATGCCAGCACCCCCACCTCCCATCAGAGAGCCTGCATTGGGTACCAGGCTCCTGGGAGGCAGCAGGGCTGCTTCATGTCGACTCCCTGCCATCCACGTGGGAGATCTGGATGGAGAGCCTGGCTCTGGCCTCAGCCGTCTGGGGCAGTTTGGGAGCAGCGTGCTCGCTCTCCCTTTCAGATCTACGTGTCTGGTGGCTGTGGCCAGCAGGGCTAGCCCTGCCCTCATCCCCCCATCCTCCGTCTCTCTCAGGACTGGATGTGCCCTCCCTGCCGCGGGATCTGTAACTGTAGTTACTGTCGGAGGCGTGACGGCCGCTGTGCCACGGGCATCCTCATTCACTTGGCCAAGTTCTACGGCTACAACAACGTGAAGGAGTATCTCGAGAGGTGAGTGTGGCCCGGCCCAGCCTGCTCCTGGAGCAGAGAGCTCGAGGCATGCATTTGCGGCCTCATTTCACTGCCTGTGCACGTCAGGTGTCCACTGCGTCTCTGCAGTGGACCCTGTGCTCCCTCTGTTCAGGAGTTTGCCAAGATTTCACCCTTTGTGAAACAGAAAGGGGAGGCATCGACCAGATGAATACCAGGGAGCCACGAGGAGTGTGGAGACCCTGGACAGTGGGGCGGGGTGCCACTCCTCACTGCCTAACACCATTTCCGACTGGTTCGCAAGCACCTGAAGAGTTGACCATTGCTGCAGCTGAAGGGGTCAGGGTTTACAGATGTATTTCTTTGAAAGAGTTCTGTCTTTGGTTGCAGTGGCTTGGACTAAGCCAGCAGTTCCGTCTGGGTCTAGAAGCCCAAGTACTGGCTCATCTCCCGCACCTTAGCAGGGAGCTGGATCTGGAAGTAGAGCAGCCGGGGTGCACACCAGTATCCATGTGGGATGCCAGTGTTACAGGCAGTGGCTTAACCCATTGTGCCACAGTGCAGGCCCTGGGGCTTGGCGGGGAGCTCTGGATTGTGGGTTTCACCTCGCTAGCCCGGAAGATTGCTTTTGCATTGACCTCTGGGCCGGGGTACTCACCAGACCTTTGGCGTTTTTTTTCCCCTCAGCTTACAGAAGCAGCTGGTAGAGGACAGTTAAGAGAACTGAGCTCCAGCCACACGTCGGCAAGCACTCCAGGAGCCACGCGTACTGTTTGTGCCTCTGACTTTGGGCAGTGGTGTTTTTATACAGAAATTCTTTGTCCAGTTCACTGTTCCTAAAGACTTTTTGTTTTTGAAAGAGGTTTATTGCTAGGCATACACCAAGAGTTCTCAGGAAGCTAGCAAGGCAGAGGAGTCTACACATACATAGATTACGCACACGCATGCGCAGATGGGCCTGTGAAATGAGAAAGCAGTGTGAACCAAGTGGAGGTCATGTTCAGGTAAGTTCCTGACAGGACTGGGTAGCCACAGTGCTTGCCTTGCCAACTGCTTTGGTAATGGACGTGGCTTTGGTCTTCCCAAGCAGGTGACCTTCCAGGTCAGGTGTCCCCTGCTGTTCAGATACCCTGCAGGCTTTTGTTTTGCTCTCTTACGTTCCTGAGCCCCTAAGTGCAATCAGCCACAGAACATTTTGACTGTGCCACTGTGGGCCGTCATATCCTGCTGCTTCAGTGTTTGGAAAGAGCTTAAGGGATCATTTCTAATTGTAAGAGTTTCTCTTTAGTATATTAAGAACAAAAGTGCCCCCTTCCGCCTACCTGGTTTATGTGTCCTGGAGGAGACACTGGAGCCGTTTGCAGACTCCCTGGGGAAGCCCCCGTCCCCACACACAGATGGGGGGGGGTGGCGGGCCTGGTGTTCCCTGCCCTTGCTTCTGTGTCTCTCCCCGACATTTTAAGAAGCGAACACACATGTCCATCCTCAGGAAGAGCCTTGTAGAGCTACCCACGTAGCACCCACGCACACGCCTTGGTTAACACTACGGGAGAGCCTCCCTAAGGGTCGTGCGCCCCAGTCCCAGCCGTCCTAGGCCTCCAGCAGCAGAGCCACACCAGCCAGCACCCACCGCGCTGTCTCCCCAGGGCTCTTCAGCCTGAAGGTGCACACGTAGGTGGGTCCCCTCACTTTGGTTCTGTACACTGGGCACTCGTAGGTGTGTTTGGTTTCTTGCCTGTCCATGGGCACAGCCTTGGCGAAGATGACCGGCATGGCAGACGTCAGCTCCTTGAGGCGGGCTCCCACGATGGTCCCTGTCTGCGTGTCCCATCTGGCTCCTAGGGCGCAAACACAATGGCTGTAACCATGGGATGTGGAGGCATTGATGATGTCATCATTGGTTGCAATAAATGTTGCTGTTTTGTTACTGTATCACTTGTCAGTGGCATCCTGCCTGGGATTCGGGAGAGACACTAATATACCTGGGGTGTGGTGCTGCTGGGCCAATGCAGGCAGAGACTGTTGTTTACAGTGGAAATAGGCTTATTTCATGGACCCTAAAGCAAACCAGTTTTGCCATCCCTTTAAATTACTGACTCACCACTGTGTCTTACATGGGTTTATTTGAAAGGCATAGTTGGGGTCACTGCTGTGCAATACTGAGCTATTCCTCCCCCTGTGGCCCCAGCAGCTCCACTTCCGATCCAGCTCTGGCCGTTGTGGCTGTTCAGGGAGTGAACCCGTGGGTGGGTGATCTCTCTGTTAACACTGCCTTTCAAATAATAAGAAATAAACCTTATTTTTAAAAGGCAGGCAGAGTTACAGAGTCAGATCTTCCATCCACTGGTTTGACTCCTAAGTAGGCACAACAGGAGCACAGGCACTTGGGCCGTCTTCCACTGTTTATCCTAGGCCCTTGGCAGAGGGGGCTGGATGGGAAGTGGAGCAGCTGGTGCCCATATGGGATGTCAGCACCATGCCATCATGCTGGCCTCCGTATCTTCTATTGAGCAACCACATTTGGGTTGCCCATTTGACTTCCCTGACTTCGCTCTGAACATTTGAGCTGGTGGCACTGGCTGTCAGGGGGAGCAAGAGACACCTGAGCAAGGAACTATAAGACGTGTGGGAAGAGCGTGTAACCACTCCCATGGGGAAGCCACCACAGGGGACAGCCTCCGTGGGGAGATGCACAGTGGCATGCTAAAGGCTCGGTGAGTCCCGCAGGGAACTGTTAGAGCGGGTTTACTGATGGACTGTCAAACACTTGGAGTGTAAATTGAATCTGTTGGCATGACATCACGAAGACCCAATGGGAACCTCCAAGTGTCTTGTGGCATTAACCCTAGATAAGCCTTGGCCAGTCCCTCCTGGCACTTGGGTTGAAAGAGGTAGAAATGAGATAAATGCTAACATCAGGTGATAGTGTAAGACACCGAGCTGCAAAGGGCACTGCCACCCTGAGGGAGGGACGTCACTGGCCCCGAGGGCGCCCTACCTTCCATGTGGAGCCCGTACAGGTATGCGCCTTCCCTCGGCGGGTGGCCATAGTCGTCCTTTGTCTTCTTGGTAACGTCAACGGTCAAGCACATCTTGTCCAGTGGCCACTCATTCTTCCGAGCCATGGTCTGCATGATGGCTGCGGGGCAGGAAGGATCGGAAGTTAAGTAGGATGCTGAGCTGTCTGTAAGGGTGTCTGGTAGCCCCTGGCAAATAGAGACTCAGTTCCCCACTAAGTGCTTAGGATCTCTTGCCTATGTCTGCCCTGAAGCGAGGTTCGGAGCACAGGCCTCCAGGCAGCCGCGGCTGTAAGTCAGCAGTGGCTGTTCACCTGGTGGCTGCTTCTGGCCCCAGTGCTGGCAGCGAGTAGCTGGGCTTGTGTGGCTCCTTAGGCACATTTCCTTGGAATCTGATTGGCTGTGTAGCTGTCAGTCACTCCCCACCCCTCCCTCTCTGTAATAGCTGCTGTACCAGGATGTGTGGGCGGGGCGGGGCGGGGCAGGACTGTCCCAGTGAGGTAAAGTGAGGCCTCTGCTGGAGAGGTGGTCCTGTAAGCATTAAGGGGTTGCCCTCCCTCTCGGCACTGACCAGTGAGGAAGGACTGAGGGTTGAAGAGGCCGGAAAGCCACACGACGGCTGGAAGGGTGAGGTCCTGGGTCCAGGTGTCGAGTTCTCGGCAGCGAAGGAGGAGATCGGTGAACCTGCTCAACAGAAGGCAGCAAGAAAAACACTTGCCCTTGAACCAACTAGCCATGTTCCAGTTAGACTGGGAAGAGGTGGAGAACATGGTTGCTGATAAAATCCTTTGCTTCCTGTTGAGATTTTATGCCTGTAGCTCCAACCGTTGTGATGGTTAGGATAAACAAAAGGGAAGGTTTGTCACCAGGTGGTTCAGGACCATTCTGACAGCAGGTGTGTACAGAGGGCAAGCTGGTTGAGGGGTAGGGGCATGAGTGACTCTGTTAGGTTGGGAAGGCCCCCAGTGGTGGTTGGAAGGCCATGGGTGCTTCCCATGTGTGAGCACTGCCCTGCAGGGGAAGGGGACAGTTCCAAGGAATGCGGTCTGCCAGCCACACACACCTGTGATTTGGGGCATGCTGTCCTTTAAGCACATACTGCATCTATTGGGCAAGGCCAGGAAGAAAATTTACCTAGGAGGAAACCAGCCCATGGATCTTCCACAGATAGTTTCCAGAGCAGGTGTCGGGACTATGGAAGAGTTATATAGGGAAGGGAGACAATTGTAAAAGAACGGTACTCCGACAAGGAGCAGACAGCAGCCGGAGCACTACGGTGTCCTGGGCCTGAGCTCTGAAGGAAACCGGGCTGCATGAGTGAGCAGTTACTCCAACAGCCCACCACTGCAGGGAGACGACTGGTGGAGGTACCTGGCTGCTTCTAGGCTAGGAAGAAGGAAAGGCGAGCTTTACATTGCAGTGTGGGCCACTGTGAACATTCTAGTTAGTTCAGAGCACAGGCCTGCACCCTGTGAACTCACAAGGAAAACCAGTGTTTGGACAATGAGGGTAAACATGGCTGCCTGTTTGCATAAAAATATCTCAGTTAACAAGAAACTGAGTAAACAAAGATTTTAACTTAGGGTCTGGCGAGAGAATGTGGGGAAGGAAGCTGGAAGACCTCAGGAATAAAAAAGCCAAACAGCAAGTGGAATGACATTGATAGAATGACAGCTGAAAAGGAATGAAAAATACAAGTCTAGACAATGAGTTTCTTTTTAAATTCTAAGACTCCACAATCAAGGGCATGTCATGTTACGGGAAAGTTGAGCACAGAATCATTCATACTAAGTTATGTCTTAATAGCAACTGAAAATAGAGAATCCCCTCTGGCTAGGGGGAGCTAGGCAGCTATCTATTTAAAGTGCAAGGAGACTAGCATTACAACTGCACAGCAGCATCGGGACAGAAGAGTACCTCCAAAATTTGCAAACAGGGAGCCCCAGCTTTGTAATAATCAGCCGAACTGTTACTCAAGAAGACAACAGTGTGGCGTGGAGAATGACCAGCTTGTCAGTCCAGCAAACAGGATGCTGACTTAACACTGTTAAAGGAAGGCTCAGAGTAGGTATGTTAAAGCGTCCCTGTTCTTTACAAGGATAGTAAGCCTACAGAAATTGGGAAAGTCAAGGAGGGAAAGCTAAGAAAAATAGACCAAGTGGCAGAAGACACTTGGTCTATTGTATTTGGTTATAAAATGTAAGTCTAAAGTTTTTGGCTATAAAATTAATTGCAAATCTAAATCATCTCTCTGGGTGTGTAAAATCTGGTTTTAGACGTACATAGCACTCAGAGTTTGTGAGAGACTTTGCTCGCTTGCTGTGAGTGTTATAACTATTGCAGCTCCTGCCTCAAGCTTTTGTTCTTTAAAAAGCAGAATGACACGCAGAGGGAGAAACCTCTTAAATCTATAAGTTCACTCACCAAATGGCCACGGCAGCCAGGGCTGGTCCAGGCCAAAGCAAGAAGCCAGGAACTCAATTCAGATCTCCCACGCAAGGCACAGGAGAACAAGTACTTGAATTATCACTGGTTGCTTTCCCAGGTGCAACAGAGCTGGATGGGAGGCAGAGCAGCTGGGACCTTGTCTCAAGGGACAAGGTAAGGTTGGGGATAGGCCAGCTTTCAGAGGCCTGTGAGTTCCTGCCCCTGGTTTAGTGCCCGATCTCCAGGGTTGGAGCCACAGTCTGGCTTACTGTTAAGGTGAAGTTAGACGCTGAGTTCTCTATGAGACAGTTGTGATTGATGAATGGCCTGGCAAGCAGAACAACAAAGAGGCAATTCTGGCCATTTTAGGTTTAGGAGCAACTCAATGAGGGAATTCTGTACGTGTTTTTGAGATGAAAGACACAATGTCAGGTCGCAAGAAGCACAACGTGAATTCTTCACTCTGAACCTGACTTGGAGCCAACTTTTTTCCCCCCCTTTTGAGCAACCTACCAAGGAACCTGGAAGATGGATGGCACAGTTTGCCCAAAGCGCCATCACTCAGAACTAGGTTAGTTAGAACCTGGTGCCGACACTGGCAAAGGCCAGGGGCAGCGGGCATCAGGGCACTTACCACTGAGCCAGGCCATACGTGGATGGATAAGCCAGCTTGCTCCAGGTATCTGGCACAAGGTCGTAACTGAGTGCAGACAGCTGGGCTTCCCCGGCAGGCGGTAACGTCAGCTCCCCCTTGGGTGGGGAAGAAGAGCCGGAGTGAGGGTCTTCCAAGGACATGCAGCCCGTGCCAGCCTCCCACTGGAAGCTTACCTTCAGACCAAGGTCTAACTGTTGAAGCGACAGGCGGATTTCCCGAATCAGAATGTTCATTCTCTCACATTCTTGGAAGCAAACAAGTACATAGGGGCTTCTGTTGGAGGTCTTCTGGGTGATCTCTACCATGTTGAACTCTTCTGGAAGTTTCTCCAAAATGTCATCTAAGACATTCTTCACCTGGAAGCAGGAACACCAGGCCCCTTTCTATTTCTAGTTTTGGTCATAGTGATTGTGTATCTATTACCCTCCGCTCTTTGTAGTCCCAGCATTTATGAGGCAATTTTCCCCATGACACCTGCTCCTCCCAGGAGGTGGGCACAGTGGCCTTGCCAAGGCCTCAGCTGCTGCTGCCTCCGAACCAGCTACCCCCGAAGTGGAGGAAAGGAGGAATGGGGGCGGCTAGGCACCGAGGAGCTGCTGAGGAATTCGCAGTTCAATATTGGCCTCTTGGAAGTAGGGCAGCTGTTCGAACCTGGGCTGTCCGTCTGTGAAAATGGGCTGCAGGAAGCTGCGTCTCACCATCCTAGCCCTTGTTTAGGTTGTGCAGCTCTAAAATGTCACCTGAAGTTCACATGAGCCAACCAGGCCCTGCAGACACAAACAAACCCTAGAGACTGAGTGCCAAAGCAGCACCCTTCCTTCCCCAAGC